ATCGTTGCTTTTGAATGGCAAAGTAAAAGTAGTCCCGCACGCATTGCAGCGTGTAGGGCACTTCTTCATCAGCACGCTCAACTCTACGCTTGTCATGGTTGGGTTCTTGTCACGCACCTGCGCAAAAATGAATGAAGAAAAAAGACACAAACAGAACATGCTAGGGAAAATGCATCAAGAGCCAGTACAAACCAATATTATTCTAGAGGGGGTCCACATCTGGATGGGGAAAGAATAAGTCTGCTTGGTCCTGGGCGGTCTCAAAAATTACAAAACTAATGAAAATTACACGCTGTCACGCTATATTATACTAGGTATAAACGAGTACAAATTAATTATTCATGAGGGGGTTCACATGTGGATGTTCCTTGGAAAAGAATATGCTGTATAATATGTTCTAATATGTTCTACAATGTTTTCTTTCAGGCTGGGCCGGGCTCCCTACAAATGAACAAAAAACAGAACGACATTAAACCAAACAAAAAAAACGCACGCCTCTGTCTCAGACAAATGCCGGTACATTCCGGGACGTTCTTCTTGAATGAAAGTAAAGATGTTAAAGAGTATCTCTTCTCCTTTGCGAGGTCTGCCCGCCCTCGGCCTCTTTCGCGGAGCACCCTGATCCTCATCGTCAGCTCTCTTTTGGGCATAATTAGGATCATACACGACCAAGGCCAAGCAATCCTCCGCGGGAGCCTGGGTCTCCACCTCTTCTTCGCGCTCACGCAACATTTCTTCCTTCAGACTTGGTATCGAGTGGGTGGACATGAGGCCGATGCAAACGCTGCGTGTGATGTCTTTGGACCCAGCAACTCCATCCAAGAAATCGTTCCAATGTCCCTTGGGCAAAGGTGTCCTCAAAGTGTCCCAATGAGCCTTCTGGAAGGAATTGAATTCCAAAGAAGTTCTCTTGAGAACCCCTTTGGCAAACGTGATTCTTTTCCTGCTTTCTCTGGCTTCCTTGGGATCTGGTCTCTGCTCCAGCTTCTCCCGCACCTTCTGAACAACTTTGGGAACGCCATTCACAGGCACCAAAGAGGACAGATTGATATCCTCACATGAAGCTTCCGCAGCTTCTGTGTTTCTCCCGGATTCTGCCTTGACTGCACCGACGGATGACCTCTTGCACACTACTTTATCCTGCTCACATGGTGAACCGTGGTCACCTTTGGATTTTGCTTCAGACTTCGGCTTTGATGGAAAGGCCTGAGCCTCAGACTTGATCTTCAATTCTTTCTTTTCCGCAAGCTTGCCACCACAAAGCTCTCGGAGGCGGGTATCTGAAACATCATCTTCTGGTATGGTCAACTCCCCAAAAGGCACTGTCCACTCACCACCGGACTCAGATGCAAATCCATCATCCAACAAACTGGATGTGCAAAGAACCATGCGATGTCCGCATGACCAGTCATCTCGCTGACAGGGCAGTTGTGTGTCAGGTTCGAAGGAATCCACTTCAACTCTCATCCTTGGCAACGCGAGCCACGTGGAAAACTGAAAGAATTCTTCTCAAAAGGCCGCCTGCTGAAACAAACAGAACGAATATGAAATAATCTCAAACAATGCAAAAGAAATATATACTGTAATCTGAATTAATCTGAGCTACTGTGCGTGCATTTTGTGATATGCCTTTGCGATGGGCTTGCATGCTGCGTATGCGAGATCCCAAATTTTGGGGTCCCACTTCCCATCAAGAACGTATGCCTTCCATTCACCCACCCTCATTGGCATCAGCGCCTGGTGCTTCTCAGTGTACCTGAGACCAACTAGAGGTTGGCACTGTAAGAAACATACAGACGCAACTAGGAAGAAACACCAAAAGATATGACAATTGCAAAAAAAAAATATATATATTAAAACAAAAACATGAAAAACATTGAACATCATGAAAGATCCTTTTAAGAACGTCAATGCACCATGAATATCATTTTTTTCAATATTCAAAAAGATGACTATTAGCAAATCCTGGACACAAAAGCACAAAGATCAATTTGGGATACCCCTGGAGCGCAATCAAATCCAGCTTCTCAACCACCGAGAAATCCACGATGACTGCATGCTCTGGCCAACTCACACCAAAGAAAGATCGAAGCACCCTGACCATGCCCCACATCACCTGTCCCCAATGCGCCGGCTTTCCTGGCACTATGACAAGATATGACAAGCACAAGCAAATGACCCTGCACTTACTTGAAGGCTGCATGTTGTCCTTTTATTATTTGGAACAGGTTTAGGTGGTTAACCCCGCTAGGAATAATTATACGCTGGTCTGCAAACTTTGCACTGTGCACGCAATAAAATATTCAAAAATACACAAAAATACCAAGACTCCGTACACAAAAGCATCATCCGGCCATTGTTGCAAAAGCCCATGTTCCACATCTTTCCATAAATCTTCTTGGTCCTGAACGGGATTGCGGTAAATTGGGATTCAAATTCTTAGGCGTGTTTCAGCAAAAAAGCGCAAATATAAACATATAATCAAACAAATCAACATAAATCAAACATAATCACACGTAAGCCGGCCTGCAAGCCACCATTCTTTTCCACGTGAGAAACTAATGATGGTGAACAGGAGCGGCATACATCAAAGAGGTCTGCGTCCTTAGCGACCATTTCGCTCTTATCCTGATCAGGCATCCTCATAAATTGACGAATGGACCCGTTCTGGAAACTGTGCTTGTAGTGGCACCAAGCGCTCAGTTCCTGAAGCGATGTACGCCAGTATTCCATCCTGGGATTTTTGATGATTTTTGCACGTTGCCGAATCTGGGGTTGATGTAAAACACTTAAACAAACACAATATTATATAGTAAAAACATGTAAAAACACACATATATATATATAGTATTATATTCTCATATATTTATATATCTCAAAAGAACGTTTAAACACACCAAATCAGAGGCACAAAGGATGTTCAAAAAAGGTTCACTGCAAAGGCCGCGAAACAAAGGGCGAAATGGCTGCGAGTAGAAAGACTGCAAAATAGCGTCTGGCGGTACTTGCCGGTCTGCCGCAAAAACCTGCACCATTCCCAGGCTTCTTAAAAACATATGTTTCGATATATGCTGCAATATACTGCATATTAGTTTCAAATGTGTTTAAATATTAAATATATTGAAAAAAGTGCAACCCAACACCTCATGTGGAAGCCGGATCTTCCCCAGAAGTTCCTCATTACCAGGACCAAAGCCATCAGAGACGGACCATGAGGTAGCTCCTGAGTTGAAAACCATTGAACACCAGTGCAAAAGTGTGGAACAGTAATGACGACACATTCAAATTCCTATAATCTATTGGTGTTATTCAATTATTCCAAAAGGGGGTGGACCTGTCTATGGCATCCAAAGTTCTTTTTGAAGTGTCGGGAGCTTCCAAGCTCTTCTCAGCCGTGGCATCAGCCGCAGGTCCTCAGATTGATGGATATT